ATATATAATTTCAAATAGTTGAGGAAAATTATGGGCAAAATTCAATTTTCCATGTCAAAGTAACTGTTCTGTATTAAGAAAAGTAAACTGATAAATGTGATTGATAAATATTTGATATATCAGAAAAGACCAGATGGCGACATAAAATCTTTTTTATAACCATTACTTGATATAACTAATGTACAAGGAGTTTGGCTGAGTACAGAGGACAAAAATATCTACAGGTTGCAGATATCTTCTAATGGAGATATTTGCTATGCAACAACAAAACAAGTCCCAAAAGAGTCAATTCATCTTTTGAAACAAAATGATCTATTACCTAGTTTATCCCGGAAACCATTAACATCGCGTGCTGTCTTAACAAAGACAAACTTATCAACGATTTAAGCATCTAAAGTTATGGATATTTAAAAAAAATACGGTTTTACAGTTCCAACGCCTTCTCAATCTGGTTTGTACAAAGCTTTATACAAAGTAGTTATGAGTGCATTCATCAAAATGCAAACACCATGGTGTTTGCATTTTATATATATATACATATATATATATATATATATATATATATATATATATATATATATATATATATATATATATATATATATATATATATATATATATATATATAAATTATGAGTTCAACTTATTCTCCAAATATTTCGTACCCGTTCATTTCTGAAACTACTACAAAGTCTAAAGGTTTCAAAAAAAAAAATTTTCAAATTGATAGACCAGAATTACCAGAAGTAAATTTGGGACGGCGTGATGACATGAAATTCTTGTACCACTTGTCACAAGCGTTCATATATTATGAGAAGAATTATGAATTCCCCTATGTTCATTCCCACCAAACACTGGGACGGACAAAAAACGTATAATGAACGTTCAGACGGAATGTTTTGGACGCATTCTAAACTGATTCTAGATTAGACGCTTAAAGACGTCCTTTCAGGACGTTATATAGACGTCGTAAAGACTTAAATAATACTTTTCGTTTAAGTGCAGTTAGACAAAGTTATTCCAGAAAAAACATCTTTTAAACGTTCAAAAGACGTTCTGACCGTCTTTTAAACTTTTAAAAGACATTTGTTATGCAATGAGCGTATTTTAGCAACCAAGGAGTTTGTAGGGTTTTGGAGACAAAAATTTAACATTCAGAAAATATAAACAAAAGGCAACTGTTACCGATTACTTTGAAATTCGGTCACTATTTTTAAAATATCGGTTACATGAGTGTTCTACTATGTAATACCAACAATTTTTGTTATAACTATTTTATCGGTACATGTACAGTTTTCATTTTATAGACCATAATAGTGATTTGCTACTTAAAGCGTGATTTGAATTGGCTTATGCTAATTGTGTCGACACGGCCTTCAAATTGGAGGGGTTCAACGCCTCAATTTCTAAAATAAAGTCCATAATTTCTAAAATAATTGCCTATATTTCTAAAACAAAAGGTCCTCGCCGGCGTTGACGGCCATGTATACTTCGCTTGAATATACCAACATTTCCTAACGTATAAACTGCTGCCAAAAAAAAAAGTTAAAAAAAGTGCAAGACCTGGTCAAAAGACTAACAGTTAGTAGAACAAAAAAAAAAGTAGATCTCCTAAAATATTTTGTATTGACCTCCTTAAATACATTTACTTTTAAAATGAAGTAAAAACCATTTAAACTCTATTTTTTTACATTGTATAACCATCAAATATCTAATTACAATTTAAGAAATGTTTTTTTGATTTTCTCCACCAAAAGATTATTATATTTTAAAACAAATACTCTATAATACTACTTTTAAAGATGGTGAAAATATTCATTATACGCCGTAAAATATGAATTTCAGCAGCCTAATTTCTAACAACTCAAATGATGTTCTTTAAAGATGCTTACTGTTTAGATCAATTATGCAGCGCAACAATTTTTCTTTGTGCTCTGGATGATTATTATTTTGCTTATACCTCGACCAATGTTTATAAAAATCTTGATGAGAAGTTTCGACAGTTTGTTCATTATAGGGCCCCAAGGGGATCCTTTATGACTGATGAAATCCTTGATGTGGTAGAAGACAGCGTAAATTTTGGGTGTTACGCTTGCTCCAGTTATCATTAAGTAACACTTTTTGAAATTTTCAATTTTTTAGCGAAATCCGGCAGAAGGATGTATCCAAAGCAAGCCTTGACAACTAAATTGAAGCTTTTGAATGCTTCAATTATGCACACAATATTAGGATCCATGTTTGTGTCAGCAAGTTGCTGCAGCATATTCACATTTTTAAGAAGCTTCCTGGATTCATTTCCCTCAAACAGCTTTGCATTAGCAACAACCCGGTCAGATTGCTAAAAAGACTCAAGGTTTGAATTAATTAAGCCCAGTGTTCGCAAGTTTCCAGATTTGGCAAGACAATTGAATTTCACGTCACACCAGGTGCAAGGGTGCGTACTTGAATGAGTTTGAAGACCACAAATTATAAAGTTTAAGTTTTCTTGTATTATGTATGATCAAATATTATTATTTTTCATGTTTAAACTATATAAAAATATAAACTTTATTTACAAAATCTTACAAATATGTATTTTAAGATGTATTAATAATAAAACAAATTTGTAACTCTAACCTAGTCTTGCTGAGACCCAGTTATTGCATAACCATTTAGAATAAAATACAAATAATGCCACATAAAATCGAATGCATCATTTAACTTGTAAAAATTATTATTAGAGACTAGGCGGACATCCGCAAATTATAAAAAAAGTTTATATTGATAATATACATATTGAATTATGTATTTCTAGTCTCAAACTACTGGACTGCTTCGGACCGTCAAAGTATTCGACTATATAAGTGAAATTTTAACTAAAATAAGTATTTCAAACACGCAATCATTTGAAATCATTTTATTTGACATAACTTACTTGCTGAATAGTGTTGTAATAGCTCATTTGAAAGATAATACAAAAAATAATTTAAAATTAAAAAAAAAAATTTTTTTTTTAAAAAAAAAAAAAGCTTTTTATTCTACAGCTCAGAAGCATACGTCATGGTAATTACGTCATGGTAGTTAAACAAAAATATATACATTTTATAAAAGCTGAATGTTTAAGCTAGAAAATGATATATAATAATGTAATTTTTGAAAATGTATTTTTTTTTTACTTTTGTCAACCACCTAGCCCAATGTGCAGGTATATAAAGAAATATGCAGAATTCAGAGAAAAAAAAATTAATTGGACATAATAATTGACCATGATATAAGAGAAAGTTAAATTGCAAAATACAATTTCCTCGTTAAACATTGTTTATCTTTACAAAAAAAACTCTAATTTTAACAAAAAGTTTTTTTTCATTTTTAATAACTAATTCTTTTGCAACCTCAGCGAAAATAATATTATCAACTTTTTTCTTCTAAGTATGAACAACATGCAAGTTGTTCAGACTAGTATATCTTTTGTAGTCGATGATGATTTTTTCAAAGCAATGAAAGATCTTTCACAAAGAGCAATAGTGCAGCCATGATATAACTATCTTTGCAACCAAATTGATTGCAAATAAATATTCAATTCCCTTAAAAAAAAAATTAAAACGTTTTTACAAAGAAGAACGACCCTTCGGCCCTATGCACCTTTTTAGGGACGGTTTTGAACTGAATATATTTAGTAAAAAAAACGATTGAGCACTACTAACGCACTATTAAGTTGAGCGTTATTAACTAGATATATATTTACCATGTGTACGACTTTTGGAATTTTTTTCAACAATAATTTATTTGCGGCATACAATATTAAAACAATTTAATTGCAAAAAAGAAAATTTAAACATCCTTATTCTTTTAGGTTTTTAACTTTTTGTTTAAAAAATCTGTCAAATAATATATCATTGGAAAAAGCATGAAATGACAGCTTAAAAATATCCAAATAACAAATTTTAATTTATAAAAAAAATTTACTAAGTAAAATAACTTGTAATTTACAAAAATTTGAGTTTGAAAAATTAAATTTGGTAGGAAACAATTGAGAATATATAATTGAAAATGTAATAGTTAAATAAAAAATGAATTTTTATACTTATTCAAAATTTCATCTAAATTTATATTATTATTTTAGATCTGGAAACAATTTTTTTTAAACTATTGTTTCGCATTATTTAAAGGATGCAAAGTAGAAAAAAGTATTACGGGCATACTTCATGCATCATTTTAATTTTTTTTAGCGTTTAAGGCAGAATTGACATATACATTTTACAACAAATAAACCTTGCAACAAATCCAAAAATCTCAATTTTATTTTAATTTGTATCTTACGCTTAATTTTAAATTAACAGAATATGTTAACTATTAACTAGTAAAATAACTGTAATATAATAAATATATATAAATATAATATATATATAAAATAACTATAATATAATATAATAAATATATAATAAATAAAATCAAAAACCGCAAATAAATTTTTAAAAACGGTTTTTCACCATAATAGCATCAAGAATACACTATTTGCTTTTCCATCAACAAAGCTTTGTAGCTGATTCAACAGAACTTATTGCTACTCATTTTTAAATTTAATTTCTTTTTTTATTTACAGCTTTTGATTGCTATACTCAACTCTGTCAAGTATAGTCAGTGCTGTAGCTAGTCAGTAGGGCTCTCCCCACTCCTCCTCCTTCAAAAAAGTCTGTTATTAGGGCATTACTTAAAAATAAAAAAAAGGTCTTTAAATTTTCAAAAGGACCCCTAAATTTGCAAATGGACTCCCTAAGTGTGCCCCCCCCCTCCGCTCCATTGGGGTGTGTGGGGTAGCCCAGCCACGGCTCTGAGTATAGTATCTAAGCGAAGAGTTGTGTTATTTACTAAGTATCCAAATAACTCGTGAGAAATTTAAATTTTGATTATCCACACAAACTATAAAATAAAAACCACATATTCATGAGTACTTGGAAAGCTTTAAACACATACAAGGCTTTTTTTTTTAATATTTATTTTTTGTAAACTTTTGTTTTTAGAAAATAGCGATATTGAACCACTGCTAAAACTTGCTCGAGAATACCAAATCGATATATTAACGAAAAAAATTGAAAAAGAATTGCTTCGTAGACCGACTAATATAGATACCCTTGTGTTAGCTCAAGAATTCTCATTAGATAAACTTGCAGAAAAATGCATCTCTACAATTTCACGAAACAGTTTCAATACCGCTAAACACCATCCAAAGTATAAACTTCTTTCTTCAGATAACATTGTTAAAATTTCCGAAGCTCATATAAACTTTTTATATACAAAGTTTCAAATAAATTGGTCATAAATTATTATTTCCTTAATATAATGTGATATAAAACAATATTTAATAAAAAAAAAATTAAATAATAATATAACAACTTATAAACTAACATAATAAACAACGAAGCACTCGTCATAAAGTTATATGTTTTAGTAACGTACGTAACTAACGTTGCATACAAATAAATCTTGATAAAAAAGGTAAAATAATTTTATAAAAGAGAAAATCTCTAGTAATATGCCAGCATGCAACAGTGCAAATGGAAAACTTATTTGGTAAAAATATGTCAACAAATGAATGAAATGATACAATTTTATATTGCATACTATCATGAAGATAGCAATAGGGTGAAACAATTTAAAATAGCAACAGGGTGAAACAATTTAACCTGTTAATGCACTTCATTGTAAGCTGAAAACATTAGGGAGTGCAGAAAATTAGGGGGTGTAGAAAACTTAAAACTTGTTAAAAAAAAGATATAAAAGATTCTACATGTTTTCTTTTAGCATGAAGTTGTTTTCAAACATATAACTTTTAACTTGAGTAAAATATTTCTTTTAGCATGAAGTTGTTTTCAAACATATAAATCAAAAAAATAACTGAGAAAAATATTTCTCAGTTATTTTTCTTGGGCACTATTTTTACACAATTTTTACTCTGCAAATACTATTACAGAAAGCGTTTGTATGCATTTATAGCAGGCGTTTATTAATCATTATTAGCAGCTTAAAAAGTACTTAAATTAAAAATAAAACTCTTTTTCTTATAAAATGAATAAGAGTTCGAATAAAAAAACAAAAAGTAAAATAAGCTAAATTTTTAAAATAAAGTATTATGTTTTTATTATGTTGTTTGAAGTTTTATGTTTTTTTTGGATTAGATTTAGTTTTAACATTACAAACATTGCAGAGGCGGATCTAGAATATTTTAAAGGTATTGAATGATTTTTTTTGAATCATGATTCCTACTTATTTCACGATTCCTACTTCATTTGGGTGTTAAAATAAATTCGATCATGGATGCATTATACTAGTATACATTAAGGATCAATAAACTGTCAGTTTTCTTGTTTTGAAATTGTAATAATAGAAAATTCTGACCGTAGCAAAAAGAAGACTTGTCTTATCATCAAGCCCCGTAACATTGTTGTTTTCAAACGTTTTTAAAAATTTATATAACTAGTAATAAAATAAATGATAAAATAAAACAGTATAATCTTAATATGCTCCCCCTAATATTAGTAACTTGTTACGTGTACGACTTTCTGTTTGGATAGCTCAGTTGTCTAATGCGTTTGTTTCAACCTCAGTTCAAATCTTTGCAGATCTTGATTTTAATTTTTTATATTTTTATTTGTTTCTGACATCTATATAACTTTTAATTTATTTAATAGCATATATCAAGAGATCATTACTGCTAGGAGAAGTGAAACATACGTAAATCTAGTTGCCGACTGAGTTAGTTGCATCTCAGTAAACCCCAGTTTGTGCATCAGTATTTGCTCTGGGTCACACTAATTTTTTCTGAGCAATTTTTTAGGATAAAGTGATCCACATTTTAAATTTAATGTTTCTGTTTTGGTTTTTGTGTTATGCTAAATTTAATGTTTCTGTTTTGGTTTTTGTGTTATGCTACGCTACTTTTTTGAGACTGGTATGAAAGCAGTCAATAAAAAAAAAAACGTAGTTTTAATTGGCGGGTGTTATTTATTTTAAAAAAGTATTACTTTAAATATAAATTATCTGTGCAAGCATCCAGTTTGAAGGTGTTAAGCATTAAATAGTTATCATTTAGGAATGTTATTTCGTTGAACTGTTTATATACTTCATATAAAAAATCGGTTTAGCTTTATGATTATGTTGAGTCCATTTCTATCAATTATATTTCTGACTTAATTGCACCTAGTAGAATGACCAAGCCCTGCCATATCTAAACCTCATTAGAGCCAAGGCTGAATTTAGTTTCGCGAATGCCCAAAAGTAAGTCTAAACTTATAAATAGTAACTTATAAATAAGACTTATAGTAAATCTATACTTGTAAGATATTTTTATAATGAGATTTAAATCTTTTAGTATAAGTACTTTATGTCACATGTATGACTTAAAAATGACCAATCTTAAATATATATGCATATATTTGTTTTAATATTTATATAATATTTAGTAAATATTTACAAATATTTGCATTTATGACTTAAAGATAAACATGTACTTGAAACAAAAAGCTTTAAAATATCATATTTTTTTATGTAGATTATTTGCTAATAAATGAAATTGTATTAAGAATCTTAGAATAAAAATTTTAACAATTTATAATATAAAAGTTTCATTTTAAAACGGTTTATAATAAAAAACAGCGGAATAAGAAATAATGTCAACCAACTTGTATTAAATATGTGAAATGGAAAAAGAAAGTGTTACTTGAAGCAGCTAAATTTTTTAAAGTACTCCAAACAACTTTGTAGAGCAGGATAAATAGAAAAGTTGAGAATGACGCAAAAGCAGGAAGAAAAAAGTTCAAAGCCACTTGATCGTGAAAAAAAAGTTACTTGATTTTGCCGAGATGGGCATAGGCTTTGGAAAAGAACAGTTCTTGGTATATGACAACCAGCTGGTCAGAAAATATGGATATACTTTCATAGATAGTAAATCATCTAATAAAAGGTCGCGACTCAAGTGACCAAAGTTGAGTTACCAAATTTAAGCTCTTTATTTATAATTTTGTTTCTAAAAGCATATTAACATATAGACATGAAAATAAATAACTTTGCACAATATTTTTATGGTTTTGCATTTTAAATGTTTAAAAACTTTGTAAATTACTAAGATTTTATTTTAACCCTACAAAATGACTGTTTGACACCATAACACCCTACAAAATGACTGTTTGACACCAAAACAGTAAGAAAATCAGTTTTAACAATACATGATTTTTTTATAGTTTCTTATGAACATGTTCATTAATATCAATAAAAGCGTTAGCTGGATACTAAAAATTCATCAAAAAATAATCTTGCCTAAACTTAATAAGGATACCTTAACTTGTAAAAAATGTTTTTAGAAAATTTGTTGCACCACCTTATCCAAAAACACAAAACTAGGTTTAACAATAATACGCTATAAGATTTACTCTAACCTATTTCTATTATGTTTTAATACCGATGCTTAATGTCACTGTAATAATCAATACTGTGTTCTTAAAAAATTCAATCAACTCTATAAAGACTTTTTTACAGACACTCATAAGAAAATATTTTAACTAATGTATAAATTTAATTAAAAACCGTATAAAACAATATAATTTTTATATTTTTATTGACTCATTTTTAAAGTAACAATTTTTTTTTTTAGGATTATTTTTTGACAACTCTTTGGATTGCTTTTTTTTGTTTCCTAATTTTCTAAATTTACAGATTTGTTTTTCCTTTTCATTTTGAGCTTTTTCTTGTATTTTGCTTAATTGTGACTCTTTATAAAAAATTTTTCTAGGATTATCTTTTGATAGCTCGTTTCTATTTTTGTTGTTTTTTTGTTTTGTTTTGTTTTTTTCTAGTCTTCTAAGTTTACACATTTCTTTTTTCTTTTCATTTTGAGCTTTTTCTTGTATTTTCATAACTTTTGTGCGACTCTTTATAAAATTTACATCTGCATATGGCACAATATCACACTTAAAAAAAAAAAAATTAAAAAAAAAAATTGGGGGCAAATGATTTAGTTTTAAAAATAAAAAAACTAATGGAGTAGAAATTGTAAAATCAAGTGTGTGCTGTTCAATTAGTTGTTCAACTTCAGAGTAAGATGTAAAGCTGTCTTGAAACTTGAAAGAGTCAGATGTATAGCTATCTTGAAAATTGATAGAGTCAGAGGTAAAGCTGTCTTAAAATTTACTAATCAGTGCAGCTTTATTACTTGATTTTTCCAAGTTACATCCATCTGACATAGATTGGATGCGTGTATAATAAACTCAGGGCCGGTTCAAGGATTTTTTTGGTATATGCGAGATTTCCTTTGTATATTCTAAAAAAAACATTTTGAGGGTTCAACAATTTTATAAATTTTTAAATAAGAAGATAATTGTTATTAACATGATTGTTTCTTAAAAATTAAAATGAACAGTAAAGAGATTTAATAAACCTAATAGTTTGTACGACAATCATTATTATAAAAAAATCAAAATATAACGGTGTGTTTGTTATTAACGTACCATATAATGAGTTTTGGTAAATTGCGTATATTTGTTATAACCCTTTAAATACAATAAAAACACAATATCCTAATAAATATTTACCTTACTCTACATAAAAACTGACTACAGAATTGTAAAGTACATTTTTGTAGTGTCGTGACCAAAACTAAAAATTGTAACTAACTAAACTAAAAAAACCGTAACTAAAATTAGTCGACTAACTTTTTAGTTAACTAAAATTAGTCGACTAACTTTTTATTCTAACTTAAATTAGTCTACTAACTTTCTAGTTAACAAAAATTACCCGACTAACTTTTTAGCTAACTAAAATTACCCAACTAACTTTTTAGTCTAACTAAAATTAGCCGAATAACTTTTTAGTTAACTAAAATTAACCGACTTTGTTTTTAGTCCAACTAAAGAAATTTATAAATATATAATATAAATAATTTTGGCTCATGATATCATTTCTATAAGAGTTTTTGAATAAGATTGCAAATGCATAATCATTTTACCGTATAATACCGCAAAAATAAAAAAAATATCAAAATAATTTTCTTTTAACTTTCAGTGGCAAAGGTAAGACACTTCAAAGAAAATGGTAAGACACTTCAAATGGTAAGACACTTCAAATGGTAAGACACTTCAAAAGGTAAGACACTTCAAGAAAATGTTTCATAAAAAATCCAAAAAGTAAACATGGTAAAACACAAAATCTTTAGAATTGAATAAGCTACCAAGGCCAGCGCAAAAGAGTGAGGGTATGGGTTGGTTGGTTTTGTGTTTGACATCCCATCAATGAACTTTTAGCTCATTTAGTAAGCCAATTTGACTCTTTTAGA